AAAAAATGTAATACTTAGATATTACTTATCATATACAATATATACGTAAAATTAAAATTCCCAATTTCATAAATTTCTTTTCGATCGAGACTGATTTCCATTCAAGCACCTCAGAATTCATTTAAACCTTTATACCATTATAGGAAAAAACTTTATGAAAAATTTAAATTTCCCTCTGAATACGTATAGTCTCGGTATTGAAAGAGGCTAAAATCTAGTCGCGCGAGAAGCTCATGGGCAAAAGCCCAACGTCACAGAGGCGAAATCGCGGCGCGACGCTATCGCGGCCACCCTCCGTGCTGCAAAGTCGTCCGTCTTGCGCGAGTGCCTTATTATGCTCGTCCGAGGTTAACGCCATTCTTATCCGTGCACGTGAGCCTCGGGTCAGGAAGCATTAGACGCGCTTTAGCAGACGTGAGCCCGTCGCTGCCGCCGCTCCGGAATAAAGCTCGCAAATGGACGAAAAAAGTGGTCGCACGATAACGCCGCGCTCCTTTCCTTTCCCGTCGAGGTGTATTCACTGCCCCCCCCGTTCGCGCCGGTGCAACCCCCTCGGTCCCCACGACTCGCCCCATTTCCATGTCGCCGTCACATTAGGCTGCTGGCATTTCTATTTCCATGAAACGTACATCCCGGTCGTCGTCGTAGTCGACGTCATCGTCGTCTACACGAGGTTGCTAACGGCGAACGACGACGCGACGTTGTATAAAGATTGCGCCTAGTGCGCGGTAAACGACGTTGTTTAATCTTACGCTATTGTGCTTCCGTTATTCACGCGCGGTGGCTGTCGGACCGTCGCGTCGCGTCGCATCGTAGAAAAAAATCTACGCGACTGGTAGTAACGCCGAAATATATACGTTCATATCTTTTGTGATACACTCGATGTGTGTTGGTGGAAAACGAAAGATAAATTCCATGTTCCATGAGACGTGAGAGTCTTCTACATGAATTTATAGGTAACGTGAATCAAAATCGAAAAACTGCAAGTTTCTATATACATTTCCCGCGCTTCACAAAGTTTTCTAAAACTCAAAGTTTACATTTTCTTTCATACGCAACTTGGTATCTTTATCTCGGATATTACGTACTAAAGAGAAGTACGAATTTCACACAACAAACGTGAAATAATAATAAATTACCGAGTGAAAAGAGATTTTTCTTACAATTTTCCCCATTTAGTGTTCACTGATTAAAACCGTCTCGGGAAATTAATCTCAATGAAAACGTAATTCGCGAAATTGAAGCGACGCTGTTGCGACAGCAATGAATGCACTCGCGAGGAATGAAGCGATGACGCGGCTGAGGAAGATCAAAGGTGCGTTTTCGAGATTATGACAGGCGCACGAAAGATTAAGATTTCCTTGCGCTGAGTTTACTTTTGAGAAGAAGTGGCTTCCGGAATGAAGGCGAGCCGTTGAAAGCAGCGCGTATTATGTCCGCGAGAAAAAGAAGACAGACGCTGTGCTTTCGTATATCTTCTCTCTTATCTCTCATTCCTTTATCGGCGTCTTGTTCATCTCGAGAATACAGATATCCCGGCGAGAAAACATCGCCCTTCGTTGGACGAGGAAAGACCGTCCTTTTTTTTTCTCCGCCGTCTTGGCAAACGCCCGAGTTTCGTTATGGATCATCGAGAAAGGAGCACAATGCACATTCTGCGCATTGTCGAAGTATCAAAAGATTTGTGCCATCGTCAGCTACATCAAAAACGGACACGGCGCCTTCCGAGCTCCGACTGTCCTCGCTTAACGTTTCAAAAAGTGCATTGATCCTGTCAACGAAACACGAAACCGTTTCCCCTGTTTCTCACGGAAAGATACGTGATCTGATTCCCCGCAACGACTTTAATATTGCATCGAGTTTCCAGCAGGGCACAAGCGCACAAGTCGTCCTGCTAAAAACTCGAGGATGATTATATTCTCGATGCATTATATTCCTCGTATTCTCTCATTCTCTCATTTTATTTTCTTGTATTTTACACTGATTATTCTTTGATATATTTTTTACTACAGAAGCAATTGTTTTTTTTCTTTGTTTTATCTAATAAAATAGAATATCGTTGTAAATTTATTTGTATTGGACGCATTATGCTTTAGTTTTGGCAATTACGTATTAAAAATTACAAATCATCTGTAAAACAAGTTTCTTGTTTTCAATGTATCATAAAAATCAACGATTTTTTAATAACATTATTTTATCACAAACATATTTGTATTGTGTATGGTCGAAAGCGTAAGTTTCGTGAGTTGTTTATTCTTCTCCGATTCTTCTTGGTGCTTTTCACAATGGGATTTTCTTGTATTACGCGCACGAAAACACATTTCGAAAATAAAATTTCCAAGTTTCATTTCAATTAAAAGCATCATACCTTGTCTGAAATGTCACAATAAATAAAACATTTTTTCACAGAATAACGTTTTCGTTGTAAACGTTATTATTGTAAATATTTACCGTACCTACATTACATTTAATCAATACTATAAGATCCGCTGTTTGTTTCCACGGCTTCTGTTTTTCTAGGCGATCACGACTAAAAGCTTTAGGGATCAACGCCCTTCCATCTTTTACCGTAGAACGAGCCGTAAAAAGACGTTTCTTCTTTTGTATGATGAGATAAGATATATATTTCCGAAGTGCTATTACTGGATTTTGTCTCTACTGAAAGCCTCAGAAGATTATCACTTTTTTCTTTCGGAACGCAACTTCGACGAGAATCCAATTATGTGCATTTATGAAATCATATTTTATATGTCACAGAGTCTTTTTTTATACAATCAAGATCTCTCAAATAAAACTCCCTAAAACTCAAAGAGAAAAGACAGTATATATTCTCGCGATAGATTCATTCAAGCGCCAATGGGTCTTGCAGAAATTTTAGTTCCATACAATTTTAACGTCATAAACTAGAAATATATTTTTCATCTTTTCTGTATATATCGTGGCGCGATTAGGCACTAATACATTGAAATTGATGGAATCGAGCACGATCCGGAAGTCGTGTGAGAGCTACGCTCGAATAGTTGAATGGATAATGTTGCGCAGGAACACGGCCTCTTCTCTCCTCCGAGTTTCTCGCCGAGTTTTCGGTACATCTGCTAAGCGCATTATAGGATAAAGAGGAGTTTCCCATCTTACTGATGTTCGCCTCGGAAAAAGCGTACGCTCTACAAGGGATTTCTTCGTCGTCCTTACATCTCACAGTCGCATTACATATTGCAAATTGCTTCCAGATTTATAATTAATAGCTTATTTTATGACACATCGTCATAGAGCTGTGCGAGTGGTTTTTCCTATTCTTTGAGATTTTTATCAAGCTTTCAAAAGAATGAGAGTTTTTCCGTCATTATAGTATTCACTTTTCTCCAACGAATATTTCATTTCCGATAGTCCTTGCAATAATAGATTTGGTGAATTAAGAAACTCAGAAATATTACTCGTGAAATAATTGCGAGAAGTCTTTTTACGGTAGTTCTTATTTCATATTGACGCATTCGTTATTCAAATAGCAAAAACTGAGGAAAGTTTTTCATGATATATCCGGTCGCTGATAAATCAAACATTTTTCAAAAAGCGCAAAGTATTCGGGACATCCATTTCGTCGAGTTCGTTCCTGGATGGTATAGAGTCGTGGAAAAGCTGTTTTCTGGTGGCACAGCCCCGAGCGCGCGCGCCGCGTGATAAAATGTAGGACAATATTTCCTTATCACGTAAATGCGGTCAACTGGAATAAATTAAGCGTTCTCGCAAATTTTCGGAAATACCGGCGGAGGATCGTGCGATATAATGAAGAGCTACAGCGACATTAACATTCTATATTGCCAGAAAGAGAAAGGCGGCCCGTCGTAGCGCGCGCGCGCGGTTAGCGCGTGCTGTATCCGGAAATAGCAGGGAGCGAAAAACGTGCCCGCGGGGCTCAACCGTGAGTAATCACCGTGCAAATCTCCTACGATTTATACCTTGTTTCGTATTCCCGCCGTCCTTTGCGCGACGAGCAGGTCCATTCAAGTTTGATAAGTAACTACCATCAGACTCGTCGCGGAAACTTGCTCTGCCTTCGTTAAACGGCGCGAAGCAGCGAAGATATGCATGTAAAAAGTTCACGTGCAGACTTAACAAGAAAAAGCACTAACAAGCACTTAAGAAAAAAAAATTGTTCGTCTCGTCTGTCGAAGCTTCAGTAAATGGGAAAGAATAAATTTATTTTCTTCTGAAAACAATTGCGTTATTGAAGATAATTTCTCAATTTTAAAATATTAGAAGAGGATGGATGGAAATAGATGCAATTTTTATAAATACACATTTCAATATTATAAACAGACAAAAACACTTGAAAGATCTTTTTAAAACGCATCAATTATTATAATAAACATTGATATGTTTGCACTGTTTGATGGTAGCGAAATTTTAACGTTTTACACTTCGACTGTGCTAAAAAATTCTGTCAATCAATAATATTCCAAAAATTTTAATAATAAAAATATTTTCTCAAAAAGTGTTGCCTCTTCGTGAGTATAGAGCTGTAAAATTTTTCAGATAAATTCCAAGCAGAGCACACTTAGAATTTATATAAATATATATCCTCTCTTTTTCGCGCTGTTAAAGTCACCCTTAAAAGTCAATTTCGGTAACTTTGAGATTTCCGGAACTTGAAACTTGACATACCTTCACGCAATCGTTCGTTTGAGCTTTAGAAATGCAGCTTTGTACGTAGAAAGGTTCTACGCGCTTCTGCGGAGCGGAAACTGCTAAACGGGAAAAGTCACAGAAACGGACTGAAAGGGAATCGTCATTCGGTCATGACAATTCAAGTTTCAAAATTGTTAATCCATAGTGCGCATTCTGATCTGAAGTCTCCCGCGCGGCTATGAGGGAACTTCGTCTCTGGCTTTGATAAGTAACGGCCGACGTGACCGGCGGAACCGTCTCCTCCCTTTCGGGACGAGAGAGAGGAAGAGGTTGTAACGACGGCACACACGTGTGCACGTAAAGGACATACTCACCGTTAAGAACGTGGACCGCGACGGTGGTCTTGGCTTTGCCGGGCACCATGCAGCTGTAGTTCCCCGCGTGCCTGGGACTGGCTCTCTCCACGATGAGAGTACTGACGATCACAAGGATCTCCTTGCCCGACGTGATCTCTGTCGTTCTGTTCTCGCTGGAAAACGAAATCGAGCCGTGAGTTTCTATCCGCGAGTTTCTCTTTCCTGTCCAATTCACGTTCGTACCACGAACGGAATACAGGCGGATATACAGGCTGTTTCTGTGTCCTTTTGGCTACGAATTCTTTAACCAATCTGAAGTCTGTACTCTTAATCTTAAAGTCGATAACATAGAAATTTTATTTGATACCATTTTATTACAAAACTTAAATAACTCTGCAATTTAAATTAATAAAATAAATTTTCTTTTCCTCTAATGCTTAAATTAAAATTCTTAAGTCAATTTCAAGATGTCGTCAATATGATTTTGATATCTATTCGTAGATTCTCAAACGTTGTTATTCATAAATTATTGTACCTTGACATTTCTGTTAAGAAAATATCAACTTTATATAAATTTACAAAAATAAAAAATTACGAGGAACTTATAGAATACCTTGCACATATACGTTATCGTTAAGTAGCTACGAAGAAGAGAAATAGAGATAATTTCGTTGAGTGAACATAAAATGCTGTTGGAGAGATTCCTAGTCTGCTACATGTCGGTTTCGACCAGACGTTGCCCGCCGATTTAATTAAGAAACTCGTTTCGGGACTGAGCGATGAATTTATCGTGAGAGCATATTATTTGAATTTCGAATACTTTCATAGACACAGATAGAGCCAATATAGAGCGGAACTAAAACTTCGTTATCCGATATGATTTAAAGATATTTATTTTTCTTCATGCATAAAAATTTTTAAAAATTGAGATTTGTATTTATATTAATCGCGCATTTAAATACACGAAAACGCTCCTTAACATTTTTTTTATCTAATCTTTATCGCATCAAGTTCATAAACGTAATAATTATAAATTTATATATGTTTATATATTTTAGAAGTAAAAATAGATAAATAAGAGTTCTTAAAATTTCGTTTGAAGAAAACATCATGCAAAAAAGAACTTACAATTACATAAAAAATCTTTTTTCAAGGCTGATGTCATTATTACAACAACGCTAAATCGTTCAGAGACATATATATCTCATACTTTTCTTCATAAATTTGGTATCAGAGAGCTATCGATATGAAGTGTTTATAGAGTACACAAAGATGTTCGTTTCTATATGGAGGAGAAATTGTAGAACTGTAAAGTAGGGTACGATCGTGTTTGCGCCGAGCGTGAATATTCGCCTATATTCCAAGCGTGCATTTTAACGCCTTATTGCTTCGAGTTTCTAACAGAAAATCTATGAAGATTATTATTTTTAGTATATACGAATAAATAATATTTCAATATTTTTTTTACAAAATTGCGTCAACAAAAGAATCTATATCCACATATATATATACGAATGTAGATATTTTGGAAAATTTTTATAAATAACTATGCACTCCCCCCAAAATCTATAATCAAAAATAAGTATAACATAATTTTGTATTTCAATGTATATAGGAGAATAATGAAGAAGTTTTAGATTCCAATTATCGTTCAGATTCAGGAGCAAAAAGCAAAATGTGGAAGATCGAAGAAATAATGAGATCAGGAATTTTCCTTTTGAGAATGTAAATTTCAAGCAAATCTCGAAGCACTTACCTATACTAACTTTGTTACGATTTGAGAATTTAATTAAAAATCTGCTTTACGCTAGAACTGCATGCAATAGAATTGTTCGGGAAAAGTTACAAGACGTCATTTCTTTCTTTCTTCGTAAGACTGCGCAAAGTCTTATGTCACATTAAATCAATTACAAAGAAATTCGCGACGATATTATATTCATTTTTATTTTTTGCCAATAATATATTTTGTATTAAATCGAATAGATTTAGATTTAAAACCAAACAATATAGAAAATACCGAATCCTTTCTAATACATTTCTGAGATTTCTAACATAAATTTTGTAGTTTCTTAATTAATTATAATAAAAAAAATCACGACTGTCTTCGCATAAAATCTTCACGAATTTAGTGCTAAATGTGAAATACAAGTATGGCCATAAAATGCTGTTTATAAAAATATAATGCTGTTTATATATAAATAATAGAAAAAATAGAGGATGGAGAGCAGAGCAGATTTGCAGACAAGTTTTTAAAGAGACGTAACGGTAAATACGTTATTGGATAGTCTAAGGAAAACTTATTTTCTGAAATAATACGATTTATAGAAGGAGCGATCGCAACTATCAAAACTATCCTAAATCGGAGGACAAACGGTTGCAATACGCAACGATGGTTTGTTTCAAGCACTTACCTAATGTCCTCTGTAAGTGTCTCGTCTCCTCTAGTCCAAACGACGGACTCGTTGAGCGACTCGAGCACGTCTCTTGCCTCACACCTGAGCCTGAGAACACTTCCTGCCTTCAGATGCCTTTCTTTGGAAACTATACGTCCAGAATCATCGCTGATCGTCAGAGTTGGCGCTGTGACATAGTTTAAAACATGATCAGTCAGCATTGATTGCCACAGATTTTTTCGAGCTTACATGTGAGCAATAATTTAAATAAATTTCAATTTGAATTCTCATAAAATTATTACGCAATAAATATGACTGCCATGCTTTTTAATGAGCAATCTTTGCATATAGTAAATAAATACGTATGTATTTTTTTAGTTAATATTTTGCATAATTCAGATTTAAATAAATTGTATTAAAAAAAAAAGCGCGCGCACACACACACACACACACACACACACACACACACACACAACTTTTATATAATAATTAAATAATGTAAATATATTATATTGATATCAATAATTTTTATTAAATCTAATAAAATATTATTGCTTTCGTAAAACACATTTTGAAAATAACTTGGACGCAAGATTTGAGTATATATTTCTATTCAAATATAGTAACGCAAATGCAAAACGCACCTAAAAAATATCGGACAGTTACAATAGAAACATAACGCATATATCGAGACGCTTGTTCGAAAAAACGAATGTGAAAAAGTGCAAGAGAAAAATTTATTGCAACCACCATGCTTCTCACCCGGAAATTCTTTACTGAAAGAAGAAGGATATGAGGCATATAACCTAGCATATAACATCTACTTCCGCTTCAGTTAGGCGAACGCGAAAGCAAAACGTATCGACCTGCGGTTACATCATCCATATCGATAAAAGCTGTCGGCAAAAAGCTTTCTCTTCGATGCACCGGACGTCCGCTCGCGCGCGAGTTTTCGTGCGAGGAAATTGGGAACGGATTGTTCGTGACCAGATGCGTAAACGCGCCTCGAAAACGTGTGCCGATTCGACTTTTCTCCCGTAGCTTGCGTAGAATTGGCACGTTTGCGAAAATAGAGTCTCAAAAGAATCGCAAGCGAGCCCGTTGTTGAAATTCAGTACAACCGTCCAACAAACGATTCTCAAGTCGACTGCTATGCAAATTTGATGATATCAACTCACTCGATACCTCTCTCTCCCTCCCTTCCTCCCTCTCTCTCTCTCTCTCTTTCTCTCTCGTTCCTTCTCCGAATGTTTCGTTTTTGTTCTGCCTACATGTTATCAGCTTTTGTAAATTGTATATGCAGCAGTTGATAAATTATGTGACGTTAAAATTTCATGATTGAATTGTACATTTTATGAAGATTTTTAAGAAATTAATAATTCGATGACGTTAATTTTAATGTTTTAAAAATATGAAGATTATATAGTTTATTAAAATTCAAAGATCTACGAACCTCAGAGATCGTAAAATTTCGAATTTATATAACTTTATATTTTACAATATCAATTTAATCCATTTGGTTGTTATTTCAATATACGTTTTTACTACCACTTTCAGAGAAAGATTTTCAAGTAAATCGCAAGATAATGCTAAATCTATAAAAATAATACAGATCACTTCTTTCGGTAATCAGAAAAAAACAATCAAGTAAATAAGAAATGTGTCAATGTACGGTCGAAGTGGATCTTTTATGTCTATAATAATATTACTTACGTGAATTTATGTACCTACATTTTTCTTGCTTACCAAACGCATTGTTACTATCGAACTTAAAACGCAGTCTTAAGCTGAAGAATACAATCGCATAATTAAAATAATAATTAGTTTAGCTTGTTAAGCGAGAATATATATAAATTCACGTGAATAATATTATCAGACACAAAAAATTCCTATCTACTTGATTGTTTATCATAATCAGTCATGATTCACTTAATATGATTTATATTTTCACATGTAAAATTATATTGAACGTTGGAAAATTAAACGTAAACTAATTTCTTTACCATATAAATTACTCGAGAAATTCTTATTTGCGTTTAATTTATGTTCAAAATTGACTATTTAATATTTGTCGAAGATAGTCAGACTAAGAATTCAAGTAAATATTAAAAGGAAAATTTTCAATCATTCTTTATAACTTTAATAACCTTAATAAAAAATAACGAGGATGTTCTATTGAGCTTTTACTTCTTCAATTAAATGAACGAGAACGCTTTGATGAGTACATAACACTACGGTACTTTTATTAAGAATGAATATCTTGCTTTAATTAATTCAAGGAATCTTTAATTTTAGATATTTTCGATATTAATATCACATCATCAATGTCAATTAAATTACAAAGAAAACGAAAATGAAACAAATGTGGACGAATCAATGGCGCGAATAATTTAAAATCCAAAGTTTCTATGATAAACGAATGAATCGTTTATCAGATGAAGATAACTTAATACAATTGATTACGTAAGTACGAGTTACAGTAGGATGCTTTCAACGCACTTGCTGAAACACTCAGGCAATCCCTTGATTAATGTCCACGATACTGGGGATGCGACACGGCGAAACCACTTAGGGTGAAATGAAGCTGTCAAGCAGGAGACCTAGCTCGATACATGAGTGCCTTTGTGCCGGTAAAAGCGAGAATTCGAAAGTTAAAGGGACTCGATGGAATGTGCTTTAACTACCTGATGCACTTTGGCGATGGACCTTATGCCGAGCATAATACTGCCATATAATTTTGAATTTTCTTCTAAGCATATAAGTTCAGAAGTATTCATTACACAGATATTTATAAATTGAATATTTAACGTATAATATAACCATTTTCATTATACAATTTATGAATTTAAATCTACCAAGGCTTTTAAATAATAAATATCTAAATAAAAAATCTTTGAAATAATCACACACACACGAACTGATATCTTGGAAAAAGGTATCATCGTAAAACACGTTCGACGGTCATATCAGTGCTATCATATAACGACATGATAAATGTCTTCGTATTATAATAAAAGATACACAAATAAATTACTTAAATAGATGGGACGGGCAATTCATCATGCTATCAACCAAACTCCGCGTCTACATAATCACAATATATTACAGATAAAAAATTATTATAAATGCGATCATTAAAAACTGATGAAAAGCTTAGTATGAATTTGACGGATCTAAATTAAGGACAGATTTCGCGAAGAATTTTCTTCTCTACTTTCGACAAACGTAAAACACACCTACGGACTGCTGAGCGTTCTCTTTACGATGATATCCGTAATGACCATAGTAATCGCATCTCGATCGTGCATCTAATGCGCGGATTCAATTTTCGAGTTGTCGATTAACGTTCACGTACCGTGCTCCGGATTCAGTCTAGCAAATAATCTCCGTGCGAACGACGGCTGTCATTCTCACTCGCCGTTGAAACTACCGGTACGCGGTCGCTCACGGCTCCTTTTTTAAGCTTAAGTAATTACGTAATATCAGGCCGAGGTCGTTGACATTTTCTAACTTGCTCGGCGTTGAGAGCTTTGCGGGATATCGACAGCTCGGCTCGCGCTCGCGCGCGAACGTTTTCGGGCGAATTTTCTTTTCCGATGAGAACAGACGCTGCGGAATTCGATGGAGAATTTAATCCAGTCCCAAACGGAATTGAGGGAGAAAAAGATTGAGAGAAAGAGAGGGGGGTGGGCAGAGAGAGAGAGGGACAGAGATAGAGAAAGAGAGAAAGAGATATGAAGGGAGAAAAAGAGATATCGAAAGAAGAACTGCGCGCGCGTCTGTAATTTCTTTTGGCGGATCATTTTTTAAGCTCCTTTGGGACGAATAGTTAGAGGGGGAAAGGGCGACGAATGCGGAGAGGTGGGCAATCGGTCGCTTGCTCTCCCTGGGGAAAACGCCGAAGTCGAAGTTGCCGGAAGGATAGTATTATTTAAATTGGATTTCACGATTCCGCGCGACTTCGATCTACTGTCCGCGCTCGAACTTCGTCACTTTTTCGTTCCCACGAGTTTACGCGCCGCTTATTAAAATCCCTCATGGCCGGGGGAATGAAGCCGATTCCAGAAGAGACATTTGGGAAAGTGCAGCCACCGCCGCGGCACCTTAAAGTTTGCTCTTTATCCGAAACTTTGTGTCGCGAGGAGTCTAAAAGATGTCAAAAAGACGTCATAATCTTTTAGCATTTCTTAAGATGTCTTTTACATATTTTTGCGTTTATTTGAACTTAGACAGAAGAGTTTAATCCTTTTAGATCCCAGTGTCTGTTTATTAACAAAACTTGTTAGTCGATTTGATAACAAAACTGTTGATCAATAATTTTTAATAAAAACTTAAATACCCATTACAAAATTGAAAGTAGACTTCAAAGAGCTTGTGGTGCTCTCATCAATCTGATTGAGTGTATTGAAACGCAAGAGCTGCAAAAATATTTCCTGCGGAATGTCGTCTATTTCAGTCAAATAAAATCGAGAATTTTATTTTTTAGATGCAGCTGCAAAAATATGAATGGCATCATTAAAGGATCGGGATATTAAAACATTGCGGATTTCTTGTTAAACCACCCAATAAATACTATGCGGCATGAATAATTCCGGTATAGTCAGTCTTTATCTATGCCTTCAGCGTAATTAATTCCGTACCAATCCATTAAACGGAACGAATTTTGCCGAACTGATCGTGCACCTGGCACAAGTACTCGAACAATTCCTTATCCACGCTGTGTTCATGTGTTAGACAAAGTGGAAATTATAAAATACCGCGCGTCGTTCAACATTTTCCAGTTATTTCAAGTAAAACTTTATTATCTATTTTTCCGCGTTTAAATAATTTTCACACAATTGATTACGTTTATCGAGTAAAATGTCGAAATGCATTTTTTGATATTATTTTTGTAATCAAGTAGTAATTGAATTAAAAACAAGACATAAAACCCATCGTCGTATGTGTTATACAAGATTTTAAATAATTATTTTAATTTTCTTTTTCTTATATGTAGCGTAAAATATTTTCAATTGCCAATAATAAATTAAATAATAATGATGATCAACGAGATTATTATCTACTTTCTCTTTTTTCTACCATCTCTTATATAAAAGTTTAAAAGAAATTCCTAAAAATTAAAGTTATATTTTTTATATAAAAAAATAACTTGTGAAATATTCTTAATAAATTAAAAATGTATACATA